TGCTTCTTTGTTAAGTTTCTGTGTGGTAGTCCTGTCTAGTATGAGAGTGGGGTGTTGAAATCTTCCACTATAAGTGTGTGAGGTTTTATGTGTGATTTGAGTTGATTTACGACTGTGGGTGCCTTTGTATTTGGGGCATAGATGTTCAGAATTGAGACTTCATCTTGGTGGATTTCTCCTGTGATGAGCATGAAATGACCTCCTTCATATCTTTTGATTGGTTTTAGCTTAAAGTCTAATTTGTCAGATATTAAGTTTCCTACCCTCCATTTGTTTCTTTTCCCAACCATTAACTCTGAGGTAACATGTGTCTTTGAAGCTGAGGTGTGTTTCCTCTATGCAGCCAAAGAATGGATTCTGTCTTCTAATCCATTCTGTTAGCCTGTGTCTTTTTATGGGCAAGTTAAGACCATTTTTTTAGTTCACTCTATTTGGTGTTCTGTAAGCTTCTTGTACCTTCATTGGCATGTCTTTCTTTAGGTTGGGAAAGTTTTCTTCTGTGATTTTATTGACTATGTTTTCTGCCCATTTGAGGTGGTTTTCTTCACCTTCTTCTATATCTATTATTCTTAGGTTTGGCGTTTTCGTGGTGTCCCATATTTCCTGGGTATTTTGTCTTCGGGATTTGTTGGACTTAAAATTTTCTTTGGTCAATGATTCTATTTCTCCTAGTGTATCTTCAACACCTGAGATTCTCTCTTCTATCTCTTGTAATCTGTTGGTTATGCTTGCATCTGTAGTGCCTTACCATTTGCCCAGCTTTTCTATTACTTGTATTCTCTCAGACTGTGTTTCTTTTATTGTCTCTATTTCAGCTTTCAACCCTTGCACTGTTTGAATTGTTTCTTGCAATTTTTGCTTTGCTGTTTTCTTCCATTTCTTGAAATTTTGGGTTTGTGTTTTCTTCCATTTCTCTAAGGGATTTTCTCATATCCTCTTTGAGGGCCTCTATCATTTTCATTTAGTTACTTTTAAGGTCATTCTCTTCTGCTTCATCTGCATTGGGCTATTTGCATCTTGCTGGTATAGAGTCTCTAGACTCTGGTGGTGTCATATTGTTTTTTCTGGTGTTGAATGTGTTTTTATATTGTCTCCTTCCCATTCTTTCTTCCAGTGGGTGCAAAAGGATTGTCTTCCTCTCCTGGTGGGTATGGGACCAGGGTTCCCTTCAGGTGGGTGTAAGCAGGTCCAATACTCTGATGACTCTCTTCTTCCTGTGGATGGAGGCAGTCCTAGTACCAGGGTCTTGGAAATCTCAGAGTAGGCTGGATCCAGTCAGGATGGAGTTTTACTCAGCTGTGAAAACAATAGCATGAAATTTGAAAGCAAATGGATGGAACCAGAAAAAGTCATCCTGAATGGAGTAACCCAGACTCAGAGACACAGACAGGGTAGTTACTCTCTTATAAGTAGACATTAGCTGTTAAGAAAAGGATAATCATGTTACAATCCACAGACTTTGAGAGGCTAAATCACAAGTTGGACTCAAGGGAGAGGTTGGGACACGTGAATCTCCCTTGGAAGGGAAAATAGAATAGATTTTTTGGGTGGATGCAGGGCAGGTAGGGATGGGAACAGGAAGGATTGGGGTGGGGGTGAAGGATAGAGGAACAGAATACTGGGATACATAACTGGAATTGGGATTTCAGGAGTGAGGTGGAAACCTAGTGTAATGGAAACTTTCAGGAAGCCTCAAGGGTGACCCTAGTTAGAAATGGGTGATAAGGAGCCTGAATGTGCAATCTCCTGTAACAAGTCAAAGCTTCCCATGCAGGGATTGGGACACCAACCCAGCCACAAAACCTTTGACCTACAATTTGTCCTGCCTGAAAGATGTGCTGGGGTAAAGGTGGCAAAGAACTTGTAGGAGTGGCCAACCAGTGACTGGTCCAGCTTGAGATCCATATCTGATACTACCTGGAGGACTAGGAACCAGAGTCTGGATATCACAGAGACCTGGGATAGAACCAAACATGACCAGAAAAAAAAGTCAATGAAATGAGTCCTAATTATACTGTGCTAGACTCATAAACCAGAGCTCAGCAAATCATCAAAGAGGCTTCATCCAACAATTTATGAGACCAGATGAAGAGACCTACAGCCAGGAATTTGAATAGCCTGATCAGCAGTGCATTTTTGGCATTGCTCCAATAATGCCTTTCCTGGGGGTTTAAAAGGCTTGGCCATCAGTTTTCTAAGTGACTGTGACTGTTTATCATGTATTTACTTTGTCATGGCTTTTGCTTGACCAGGCAATTGGTCATGTTGAAATTTGTGGGTTATAATTTGATACATTAGATGATTGCATCTAGGTGGGGAGAGGTTTGTGTTTGCCTGCTCTTTGACAGTCCACTGGAGAATGGTATAATAATATCACATATAAAAAAGAAAGATGGATAAAGGTAGAAGGAATGATATTTTCTTTGTAAGTGGCAAACAAATATGAAATTCTTATTGAATTTTACAGGAAGGAAACCTATAATACAGAGTATGAGTCTCACTGTTGGGGGATTTGGACTAGTTATGAAATCAGTGTACCAAAGCAACAAATGAGTTGAAATGTTTTAAATCTTGGCAACATTTCGACAGTAGTAGGAGGGCCCAGGGTAAGCTACAAAGCCATTGCAAGCATTTCTAAAGGTATAGCTATCTATGACAACCAAATTTAGCTAATTTGAGAAGAAAATTATTTATTCAAATTCCATTGAACTGGAGAATCAGTCTTGGGATTGTGCTGGCAGAAATGACAGTCTAAATCATTCGACAGACCTGGCTCAATGGGGAAACTGCTGTCACTACTACTAAGGACTATGGTTTACACTGTTGACATCGCTAGCAATGGCCCTTCATAGCTGCCATCAGCTCTGCTGTCCCTGCTACCTAAAAGCTTGATTTTTGTGACAGCCACTTCCATTATCATAGATAATTTATTCCTTCTGCATCTCATCAGACAAAAGAGGAATACTGACTGGTTGGACAGCAAGGGACTGTCAGGGGATTTGGTAGGTTTGGAGTACTTATGACATTGGAATCCAATCCATCTATCGTCCCCCATTCTGTTCTATCCTGATCATTGCTTCTGCTTTCACGTAAGTGATCTCAGTGGGCTGTGAATTCAACTGACATTATAATTTAGAGACCTGCACGATCAAAGTTTGAGTTTGATTTTCAGTTATCTTAGCCCTGCGGCTGGAAGTGATAAGAGATTCTTTTAGCAGTCAGAGAAACACAGGATTTCACTTCATGCCTCTAGCCAAGAATTTGTGATTTCAGCTTGTCATTCTCTTCCTGTAAGTAGCATAGCCCTGTTAGAGAGCACTCCAGGTGCACAGTTCCCACATTCCTCATGCCTTTCATAATGTTTCCATATCCTTGTGAGACTGAGGATTCTGATAAGATGAAAGTTCATATGATGGGCTTCCAGATGCCCATTTTTGGACATTGCCTTGGTTTTCATTGTGTTTATTTTTTAATCCAATGGAATCCTTTAAAGAGGACTGCTGTTTAAGGCTGCATCTGGTAACAGTTTATCTGTCAGTCAGTGCTTTTAGTTAAAGCAACTCCGCATGACATCATTTAAAGATACTTATTTACACAGACTTACCAAGGCTATGGGTTAGAGACAATGGCCCAAATCATGTCCTGTAGGCATCATTGCTGATGCCACTGAGCTTGGTGCTGTACTTTACACATTGACTGGAGCTGCAGTAGATCCTGGAACAGGTTTGTTAACATTACTGAGATTGCCGCTCCAGGAATATTATCGGGCTCCAGCTCCTGTTGCTAGAATAAATCACTTATGTTTCTCTCTTCTTTACACCACTCACTGGCTTAGAATTCAAGATCTAAAAATGGATGAAAATGATGTAAGTAGCCAATGTCACAGTTCACGCTCCATTTGGAGAACCATCAAGGAAGTTTGTGTGTGAGAGGCTTTGCCGCCTAGCTCATACCAAGGGAGACAATCCCTAAATTAAAGCAGGAAGTTATGATGAACAGTATACTTTAATTCACTCATCATTCATCTTAACCTCTTCTGAGCAAGTCTTCATCCTAAAAGTGATTAATTACACTCCTAGGTACCACTGCAACTGCAGAGATGTACATGATTGGGATACAGAGCCATGTCACCTGAGGTGCAGGGGATTGGGTCTTTTATAAGCATGTTGAGAAAGTGATGATGATTAAAATGACTCAGGGATTTCTGGAATTCAAATTAACTTGTACCTATGTACCATAAATTTGTACAATTATTTTGTATAAACTACACAAAAACAGGGGATTCTGGAAGTGACAGTGAGAGAGGAGAGAAAACTTTAGGTACCTTTCATTCAATTTTTTTATGTGATTTGCAGTTTTCATGAAACATCAAGCAGAAGTATACTGACATTAAAAGAGCCTAACATACCCTAAAAGTAAAATAAAATAGTGTTGAAGTCAGTGCGTGAAATTTAATTATATTTAGTAAGTAAATAAAAGACCCAATCAACTGTAGTGAAGTAGGTTTGTCAAAGACCTACAGTTGCTATGCTTTTTTTTCTCTTACTGTGTAACTTTAGTTCATTGATCTTGCCCATTCATCCTCAAGCTTATTCATTGGCCTTCAGGGACTACACAGTCTAGTTAACATCCTTCTGTAAATCATTTTTCTTTGCTCAAACATATTCAACTGAGTTCTATTGTTTGCAGGTAAAGGTACCGACTAAAACGTTTGAGGTAATAAATTGCTCATAAATCATAAATAGTTCCTTTTTCAAAATATGGCCTCAGAGATTACAGACATTCATATTTACCCACTATTTTAAGGAAAAGAAAAGGTTAGCATGCCTTGGGGATGTATATGTGGCAGCTGGTGATTGTGAAAGCAGAGCATTGCTCTAGTTGGTCAACTTGCAAGTATTAGGTGTAGAATGCTAGTGTCTTGACTTTGTGCCATTTATATGTCAGAACTGTGGGGTGGTGGACTTGTCTTGCAATAACCACTTAAATTCTTATTTCAGGAGGTACCTGCCAGTCACAGATGCAACCATGAGAAAGGAACTCACAAGGTTTTCCTGTGGAACCCAGAAAGCTTTTTCTGTAGTCCAGGTGGCTTTCAGAGCCCTTACCAGATGTATGTCCAGACCCATTAAGTCTTGGCACACATGCTCTTGGGGAAAAGCACTAAGCCTGCCTCACTCATGAGCAAGTGTCGAAACAAATGGAAAGTCTACAGCTGTGTGCCCAGGAAGAATACTTAGTGGAGACAACTGGTGTCCCTGAATGGAATGCTTCACAATTATTCTTCAAACTGAAAATTGCAGATACTCAGATGTATGTAAAGAACGTGCTTAAACAATAAACTCCTACTATATAACAGTATACAATCTTTACTCATATTTTAATTTATTTTACTAAATAATTTATCATGATTCATTTTGAAAATTGCTTTTTATCTTTCTGCCCCTCTCTTAGAAATAAATAAGCCTGCAGTTTCATATTTTCAAAACAAAATAATATAAAGTTAGTGTTGATCTTACTTGAACCATGTCACACTAACCCCTAGAGGCTCTGACTCCTGCTTGTTCTCAACATTTGAGTGCCATGCTCAACATGATGAACTAGACTCCCCTACCATGTAATTTTGTTTAGGTACCCACGCTGGACATCAAGTTCCTATGAAACAATCTTTACATGGACATTGAAAAACTAGAAACAATGAATCAATTAAAGGAATCCAAAAAATTCTTAGCTCTTTAAAAAACTTATTTTACTTTAATAATAATTTCATACTTGAGTACTATATTTACATATTTCTACCCCTGCTCCCAATTCCTATGTTCTCTCAAATCCGTCTCAAATTTATGATCTCTTTTTTAAATAAATATTTACAAATATAAGCCACAGAGTTAACTTAGTGTTGCTTGCATATATATGATTTTATGGATGACTACTTGACTATTTGGGATTGGAGGAGGCGCTTGTCACTGGAGAAGAATGACTCTCTCTTAACAGCAATTAATTTGTTTGTAGCACTTCATTTAGGGTGAAACTTGTGAGACTTCCCCAATCTACACTGGCATGTCAGCTGGTGTTATCATTGTTCAGGGCTTGTAAAGGTAGCCATATTGTTGAGATTTTTGTGGGTACAGTTCCCTGTCATATATAGAAGACACTATCTGGCAGCAGACATCCTTGACCGTGGACTCTCACAATCTTTCTGCCCCTTTTTCTGTGATGTAGACGGGATTACATTGTAGAAATAGCAGTTGAAAATGGGTACCGCACAGTACTCTGCATTTTGACGAGTTGTAAACTTTTGTAATGATCTCTGCTGCAAAAGGAAACTTCTTTGAAGAGCGATGAGAGCTACTGTTATCTGTAGATATAAGGCTAGGTATTTAGAAGGCAGTTGGGAATTACATTGGTTTAGAAATGTAACACTGAATAGAGACATAGTGAAGCAAGGAAAAGAACAGAAAGTCCTTAAATCTTAATCACCTACAGATGACTGCAAAATCACAGGAAAGACATTTTTCCTTTTGCATATGTTCATGCCCTATTTACTAGGCTGTAGGCTCTGGTTCAGAACTTACGGCTTACTCATCTTTGTGTATCCAGTGCTCTCTCCAGGGCCAGTTTTCATCTGCTTGGCAATGCTGCCTTTAGAGGTTAAGCGATCAAATAATAATTTCATTGAAACATATCCTCATTGGTTCGTTACTTTCATCACAATCTAAGATTGCTATACCATTTTACCCTCACCGGGAAGCCGGAGAGGTTTGTTTTTAAATAAAGTTTCTTTATAAATTTCTTCAAATGGCAGGTTCAAGAGCATAGGCACATTTGCTCCTGAATGTTATCCCATTCTTCACTGATGATCAATTTAGAATGTGTCTGCTCAGGCAAGAATAAACAGAGCAAATGATCTCTTTCTCCCATATGAGCTCTTGAATTTCACTTTCCCCCAGAATGAAAATTGCTTCTTGCCAATAGAGGATTTTTTATGCTGTCATTGAAAAAATGGATTTCCTTTTATCAAACCAGTAACCTTTATATATACATTGTTTTCTCTTCTATGGCGCTTTGAGATCAGCTTTCATAGGTTCAGTTTTGTGGCTAGTGCTATCAGTATTGGAAGAGGGTCATTTGTCACACCTTAGAGACTGAGCACATGCCTTCTTTCCACAGCCTAAGCAAAACATCTTCTTCCCAAAGGCGGCTGATGTACCTGGGAAATTTACTCTGTCCTGGAATTTTTCTGGACTTGATTCATTCATTAAGAGTTAGCCATCTTGGCTCTACAGACTTCATTGTTGCACACTTTCCCCCTGCGCACTATCTTTGTAAATAAAGGGTATAGTATGGGAAGAGCCTTTTAGTAACTGAACAAGTTTGCAAAGGAGTTCCTGTCTGTCTGTGGTGATTTCCATCTATCTTTGCTGTGTTGCCTTTCTTCTCTCTGGCTTTTCACTGAATGTTTAGTGTCTCCCTACCCTGATTCTTCAACTCTCCCCATTACTCCCCAACTCTGCCTGCCTTCTTTGGGGGCAGTGTCCATGTTTCAAGACCTTTCTTCTTTCTTCTTCAACTAAAGACCAGTTGGCCAACACAAAGACATTACCTGATCAGCCGTTTTCTTTACAAGGAACTATTGAGTCTTATTCTTCTAGGGTGAAAAGTAGCATTGTGAGAAAAGTAAGGGGTGCTTGTGACTACCTCATTGGGTAAGTTGTGACCCTGGCTTGTTGTGTTTCAGCCATCATGAGATGGAATGCTGAATGGACTGGGAAGTGATATGGTGTCTGTCTGCTGCCTGCCCTCCTTGTTTGGAAGGTTGGTACTGGTGGTCCTGGAAGCAAGCTAAGGAATTTTGGTCCCAGTGTTGTACATTTCTGTTCTTTTTCTGCAGAAAAGTCTAAATGCTATTATGATATGACAGCCTCATTGTACTTTGCACATTTTTATAAGCTAAAAGTCAAATCATTTTGTGAGAGTGTGTGTTTGTGCTTGTGTGTGTGTGTGTGTGTGCGTGTGTGTGTGAGTGTGAGTGAAAAATTGAAACTTTACTGGGTGGTCTGGGTTTTAGCTGAGTAGTAGAGCTCTTTTTGAACATGCAAAGAGCCCTAGATTCAACCTTCAGTAATGCAAACAAACAAACAAATAAGAACAAACTAACGAACAAACAAATGTTATTGGTATTAAGAAAGAATTGGGGCAGCAAGACAGTTAATGTGATAATAGCTCACAAGCAGCATTTTTATGTAGTCTCAATTTTGGTGGAATCTCTGATGGATCATTTAAAGCTGTGTATAAGTGACCCATATCATATATTAAAATAGTTTAATCCAGATTATTCTCTTTAAGCAATGGAGTACATACAGTGTGTCTGGTCAGCAAAGCATTTCTTATGCCATGGACAGTTCAATTATAATTAGATTTTAAAAATTAAAGGAAAAGAGATGTAAAGAAACTACAGAAACAGACAGCAGGTGGCACTGTTGCCTCTTCATTATCCTTAACCTCATTTCTAGAGGGGTGATTCATTCCTAGTTAATGGCATTTTTTATCTTATTTGAGAGCTATACCAGGTTGAACAAATTCATCTATACTAAGATTTGGTTTTGAATTGTATTTTACCTAAGAATGTAACTATAAACCTTACATATATACTTATGAAGTCCGTAGTATGTAGGTTTTCTGATCAATTTTACATTAAGTAAAATAATGACCATTGCCTAATTCCTAATGGCTTCTGATAAAAGTATCAAGCTCTTTTACATGATCACTCATTTATTCTCTTCCTCTTAAATGCTGATATGTGCCAAATATTGTTTGTGGTGATGATTTTGGAGGATTTCCCCCCTTTTTTCCTTTTTTAACCATGTGAATATGTCCATTAAATTTTGTGTGGGAATTATCTGGGAAATGTGGTTGTCATAAACTGTCAGAATATTATTTTTCCCATCCCATTTTCTCTCCTCCATAGTTTTGAGTTTTTGATTGTAATATTCCTTTTTCAAGCCATTCTCTAGGATGCTCAAACCCCAGTTTTCCATCTCTTCATGAATCACTTGCCAGCTCTTACTGACTCTATAATTAGCTTCTGCATTTCTGTCACGAACTTTAAGCACACAGCCGAAGCATGTGACACACATACGTTTCTGTATAAGGAAGAACTGGGGTGATTTCTTGGTTCCGATGAGGCTTCTTGTTGTCATGAAAAATGGAACCTTCATTGTAAGTGGTAGTAATAACAAGAGCCAATTAACAATGCAATCAGAGCACACAAAAACTTCCTTTTTATACAGTTGAATCTTGCTGCTCTTTATTCAGTGTACAATTTTATTATTATATTGTGGATATGTTGAGTCTGTTTCCTTTTTTTCCAAATCTACAAAATAAGAAATTTGGATAATGTGCTTTTCATGGAAACAAACTGATGATTCAGTAGGAATCACCAGAGAGAATATTGCCTGTGTCACTTAAAAAGACCTTTTCGGTCTATATGTTCCATACTTTAAAAAAATGTGTCTTTGATTGTTTCCTAGAACTAAAATGCAGCTGTGTTTTAAGAATTTATTCAGAAGTTGAGATTTGTAGAATAATAGAAAAACAATGAAAGTTACTACATGACAAAGTCCAATTTGTAAAATTGATAAAAAATCTCGTATAATTTATTTACAACTCAAGAAATTCAATGACATTGACTCTAAATTTGACAGTGTGTACATGTTGAGAAAACTCAAATAAATGATAGAAGAGCTTCTCGTTTAGAATTTGTCATTTGTTAGTGAACACATGGGTTAGGGAGAGAAAGCAGATGGCACTCAGTGCACTCTCCTGAGTTCCATGTATGTCAGCACTAAACACCAGCGCCATGTTCAAATCCACTCTGAAGACTCTATTTGGAATTGCTGGCATAAACAGTCTTCAGCATTAATGAATTGGGATGTGGGTTCTCTGTGTTTGGCTGTGTGCTGCATAACTCAGCAAGCATCCTAAAGAGAAACTTAGAAACAGGCTATCACAAGTCACTGGTAAATCTTTGGTGCTCAGAGATGTGTCATTTTTATGGCCAGTCCCAGGTTATTACTTTTCAGCTATTAAGCCTTTAAGATAGGATTAATATAGTTTTGTTATTTTTAATCTGTGTTGCCCTGGTTAAAAATATCTAGTGTCTCATGAATGAATTTTCTTATGAAGAAAGAATAGTGCCACCTGTATTTTAGGGTGTATGTGAAGTTCATTTAAAGTAAGAAACCACACAGGTACAAGCTAGGTCTATAATAGGACATCTTCATGTTAGGCTTGACTACCTATGACTGTGTCTGTGAAGGTATTCCCAGAGA